CCGATCTGGCTAATCTACATGCCTCCGTCGAAGGAGGCATGTAGTCTAGACACACCCTGAGGTGCCACAGGACTACTCATTGTTTTTAAAGTTACAGGCTAACACAGCTACCCCTCTCAGACTTGCTAAGAATCAGTTACTTGAAAAGAAGTAAGAGAGGGTTATTCACCTTGTGCAGTAATGGAGATCCTTCTAGATTCTCCATTACTAGGATGGTGGGTACTCCATCTTAGGTGTCTGGGATGCCACTATGTTCCGAGTCAGAGATTTTTGGTAGCAGTGTCCTCCGGTAGGCTGCACACACATAGCATGCACAGCCAACTATTCCTTCGATTCCTTCTCTGCCACAGAAGAAAAACAACTATGTCCAAAGCAGACGGAAGGAAAGGCGGGTAGTAGAGCACCCATAGGCACAACTGTCTTGAAGAACCTTTGTTACTACACATGGTGAGTAACCCTCTCTTCTTCAAGAAATGCTCCTGTGAGTGTTCCAACCTAGGTGATTATAGAGCAGTACCTGTGATTGGAGGTGGGTGCTTTAGCTAATCAGTATCACACACAATAGCTAGAACAGTGTGCCCAAACCGGGTGCCCTGGGACAGGTAAGTATCAAGGATGTAATGTGTAGCAAATGTATGAGCAAGGACTATGTAACAGATCTGCAGGATGTTAAAGAAGAAACAGGTAAACCAGGAGTGGATGGGGTACTTTCAAGTAGGAATAAGAAATCCTCCGGAAAAGGGCTTATTTTCCGGAGAATTGCGTCTAGACTGGCGCTTTTCTCCGGCTTATCCCCAAGCCCGAAAAAAGCGGCAGCCATGTAAATGCAAATGCTGTGGGGGATGTTTAAATCCCCCGCGGATTTGCAATTCCGACTCGTCTCATTAGCATCCCTTTTCCGGAAAGGGATACCAATGTAGACGTAGCCGAATAGAAAAGGTAGGAGTGTGTCAAGAAGTTTGCTTTCAGGCATCTACTTGACCCTTTAAAGTCAGGTTTTTAGCTCTGAAATGATTTTAAAATTCATTGTTTTTAGCCATTTTGACTACTAGCATACTTTGATGGTTAACAGCACACTGCTTTTTAGCAATTTGCTGCAGAATTTTTACTTTATTTTTAAGATTAGTAACTTTTTTTACAAGCCAGACACAGGTCCTACATCATTACAGCCTTTTTTTACAGCTGTTGCAGTAAAGACTTAGCCATGCAATGCATTGAGACGTGATCAGGCACAACTCTCCCCTAGAATCCTGTTCATGAAGCCAGATGTTAGAGAAGAAACAGGAACCCAGGAGCAAATGGGGTAAATGGACTTTATTGCCGGCACATGTTTACCTGAGGCCCCCCCAACACAATGTTTGATTGGCAATAATTTGGTGTTAGTTACACTTTTAGATTTATTTTAATATATTAATTTACATTTTTATTGTTACTTTTTAAAATTTGTGTTTAAAAATGTTAACTTTTATACAATAAATATTAATAGGCCCCTAATAACTATTTACAAACTTTTAATTTAATTAACATTTTTTTACACTACAAACTTTTTAAATTAGCAAATTACAAAAATTACAAAGAATGTGACCCTGAAAGTATTTTACAGAGCAAGTGAGAATAAGTAAGAAACACAACAAAGAAAAACAGCTGCTGCATATTTTTTATTTATTCATGTGTTTAGGCTGCAAGAACAGAGGAAAAGAGTATATTTAGACATGAGAAAGGATAATACTTGCTTTGGCTAGACCTTTTATTTCTTTTTAAACTGCAAAAACAAAGGGGAAAAACATGCTCAAAGGGCAATGCCTGCTTTGGCAGGACCCTGTACCACTAATGTATAGTCATTCCTGACCCCTATTAATTCTTACATAATTCGACACATAATAAATAGGGCTAAGAGTTTCCTAGATGTGATAGCTGATGAATTTCTTCATCAAGTAGTTGCTGAACCAACAAGGGTTGGTTGGTTGGCTGCTATGTACATTGGACAAACATCTCAGACACTTCGCCAAAGGATTAATGCCCACAAAACAGATATCAGACAAGATCACAAAGAGAAAACAGTTTCTTGCCACTTTAACCAGAAAGGACACTCTCTAAATGACTTAGCCACCTGCATTCTGCTACAAAGACCTTTTACATCTGCACTTGAAAGGGAATCCTCTGAACTGTCATTCATGTTAAAATTCGACACTTACCAACAAGGACTTAACAAGTCTTTGAACTTTCTCACCCATTACCAAGACAGTTTCCCCAATTATCACCTGTAATACCATTAACTCACAAACATCCCACTCTCCCTACCTTTAATATCAGCAATTCACAGACACTTACCTTCCTTCCTCCCCCTTCCCACCCCCCCGCATCCCCCTTCTGTTCTGCAATGTGATTTGTCCTTTTCATATTTGTTCATTTTTTTAAATTGTATCCTTTGGTATATATGGTTGTGACTACTTTCTTCCACTATTTGATCTGAGGAAGTGGGTCTGGCCCACGAAAGCTCATCATCTAATAAACCATCTTGTTAGTCTTTAAAGTGCTACATTGTCCTGCATTTTGCTTCAACTACCCCAGACTAACACGGCTACATTTCTATCACCAATCTGGAGGGGAGCTAGAGCGTTAGTGTGGGAACCTTGAGTCTCGAGGGCCACACTCACGTGAGCTGGGGTATTAGGTTCCTCACCCCTGCTTTAAAAACAAAACCTCTTACTCTTAAAAATCGATCCCCGTATCTCTGGTCGGACCACCTTCACGCAGGTCCTCCGGGATGGAAAACTGCAGCAAACTGTATGAACAGAAACAAACAGAAGCCCCAATCGCAGCTGGAGGTGGGGCGAGGCTGCCCCAGCAGGGACACAACGGGGCAGCCGCCCCCCACCAGATCAGGAAAACAACCGCGCCATTCCCCGGCCAGCAGGAAGGCGAGTGCCGCTGCAAGGCTCCGCAAGGGAGGTGGGCGGCAGAGGGGTGTTTGTGCGCGGCCGCGCGCCTTCAGCGGCAACTCCCCTGGTGCCCCCTTCTCTAGTCCAGCCAGGCCTAAAATGCTCAGTGCTTAGAAGGCGGGTGGGGAACCTAAGGCCTGGGTGCGTGGGGCTCCTCCACCGTCGCCCC